TCCTCCTTTCCTCCTTTCCTCCTTTCCTCCTTTCCTCCTTTCCTCCTCCAGCTCCAGGGGGAAGAAATAGGGCACCACAGAAAGGTCTCTGGCTGGAGAGCAAACTTATTTTGGGGAGGTTTTCTTGAATCCATACAATTGCAAAATGCATCCTTGGAGTGATGCAGATCTAATGCCTGAAAGCACTTGTCCAAATCATGGCTTCTCTTTCTTCCCTTGGGGCCCAATGGATGCACAGGCTTATAATCGCACGCATGTGGGTGTTTGCATAGAATCTTACCTCCCCTTCCTTTTCCAACCCTAATAACTCTGTGCCTATCAAGTCCAGCCATCAACACATCATCACCGTGCCCACTAAACCATGTCCCTAAATGGAATCACTAAGATTGAAAAAGGCCTCACAGGTCACCAAGACCAACCATCAACACATCACTACCATACCCGCAAAGCCACGTCCAAGTGCCTCAATGTAGTATTGTCTGTCCTGCAAGTTGTGGACTGTCAAAGCTGCCAGCTGAAGCTTTCTTCTTGCCCTGACCCTGCAGCAGAAAGGGTTGGAAGGCTCCAGCCTGGCTCTTGCCCCCATGGTGTGCAGAGGAAAAAGTCGCGTCCTTTCCATTTGACGTGTCCCTGCTTTGCTGAATAACCCGGCTTTGTTCTCTCCTTACAAACAGCTCCATAGAAGGGCTGCCAGCAGTCATAGAACTGGGAGTGCTGCTTTGCTCTCTGTGACCCTATTCACAGCTCCCAAAACTCTGTGGTGCAGATGGGGTTGGGGTTGGGTGCCACTTCTGAAGGGTTTGCTTCCGATGGCAGCTTTGAGTCAGGTATTGGCTTTTGATGGATTTGCAGCCCGTGGAACAGCTGTGCAGTATTTACTCCATCAGCATAGGATTGATAATTGTCTTGAAGCAGCAGCCCAGAGGCAGGGGGTTGCTAGGAGAGGCCCAGCATCTGGCAGCTGTGCTCTCTGTGTCTCTGTTCACCCACAAGGAACCAACCTTAGATCTTTCTGCTCAATGAGATTTGTTTGTCCCTGTGAGTGCCACATGGGCTGTGCTCTCACTCTCGTTTGATGGAGTGCAAATGCACATCTGCAGAGAAGTGCTCACCTCCCTTTGCTGAAGGAGATGATAAGGGATGAGTTTCGGGCATTGCAGCCTGTCTATACCAGCATGCAGGGGCTGGGAATTGAAATCAGGGTGAGAAGCCCTCCAGTACTCTGCCTGTTTGTGGGGTTTGCCTGTGCCTTTATCATGCTGCAAGTCAGGGAGGGGTCCTCCAGCACCGGAAAGAATTGCAATGCTAGCACAAGTTCAAAGACTGGAAGCTTACACAGCAGTAAATCTGGGAGATAAAGCCTGGCTTTTCAGCAGGTAAGCAAGAGGGTCACAGCCTGGTCAGAGACAAAGGGTGGCTCTTGTCAGTGATTGCTTATGTTGATGATCCCTTAGGGAGTGTTACTGTGGCTCTCTGCCAGGAACGCAACCGTTGCTGCATTTCCTGGATTGCTTTTGCCTGACCACTTTTCTCTTTCGGTTCCTCCCTGCACAGTTCCATGCTGAGCGCAGCTCCTCTGAGCAAACCCACGTTCCAGGATCAAGGTTGTTTGATTTTGCTAATAAGGAAGGGGAGGTAAGAAAAGCAATTTCCTTCTTCCTCTCTGTGTTGAGCAACTTCCGCTGTTCCCTGTGCAGGGCCCCACGGCAGCAGTTTTCACCCGAAACGCAAGGCAAGGCCTCACCCGCACACCTCCCACACCCTTCACTCCCCAGCAGGCAGGAGGAAGGCTTTCCTCGCCATCCAACCTCCTGACACCAGCAGACTGTGCTTACCGCGTGAGCTTTGGGGTGCAGCCAGCCCATGTCCCAGCTCTGCTTGCAGACCCCATCCATGTCCCACTTCTGTGGTTTTTGGTGTTATTGCAGTGCCGAGTACCCCCAGTGCTGGTTACAAGGTGCTGTGCGTATGTTTGTAGAGATGTGCCCAAAAATTCGTTAATTATACAGCTCCTGCCTGATAACATGCTGAGCTGGAGATGAGGTGTAGGAGCAGTATGAGGATAAAGGATAAATGAATACTTGATAATGTTGGGAGGAAGATGGACATGTGATGGGATGTGTTGGGAAAAATTGCTGAGACCCCGACCTGGAGAGGGCAACAGAAGAGGGGAAAAACTGGAAAAGCAACATAAGAAATGAGCATGTGAGGTTTGGTTAAGGTAGGCAGGTCACCTAGAGATGTCTGAAGCTTCACAAAGGGAAATGAGCTTGTGTGCAGCAGACCCACCTGAGACAGTGGAAGGAAAGCTGGGATGGAGGAAAGCCACGGGATGGAGGCTCTGGTGGGAACCATTGGCAACGCCCTGTCCAACCCACCTCTGATTTTTTATTGTCTTCTTTTTCCTTTAATTTTGCAGCTCCGCCTAGTGATGGCTGATGGCGAGGAGGACCCTGCTGTGTTCACCTCTACTTGTTTGCCCTCCGACCCACGGCTCCTTGCTACGGTGACCAATGCTTACCTGGGCACACGTGTCTACCGCAACATCCTTCATGTCAATGGTGTGTACAATGGGGCGGTGGGGAACACACACCGTGCTGACATCCCCAGCCCAGTCAATGTGAAGATGACAGCGCCTGATGGGGATGTACCTGTTGAGACCTTCACCTTGAATACACGGACAGGTAAAGAGCAATACATGAGCAGAATATCTTTCTGTTGTTAAAAGATGTTTGGTCAATAAACTCAATAGTTTATGAAGAAATTGGATGAACTGTAGCCTAAATTTCATTGATTCTCATAGGCATCCAACTGCATTGTTCAGATGCAGGCATTTGTTTTGTTGACATCTAGTGACTATGTTAGGTGAACTCCATCACATGTTTCTAACAGTTTTTTCTCTTACATTTGGACAGTAGCCAGCTCTGATCTTGGTAGAGCATTGGGAAGTATAATTGGGAGAATGGTAAGGAGGGTGTTTTTGCTCATCCTTCTGGGAGGAAGGTATTTGGCAGATTTCAGGTCTGAGCTGCATGGAATACTAAGTAATCTCTAAGTAATGCAGCGGACATAGCATGCAGAAGGCCTTACTTTCCCATATTATTCCTTTAATTTGGTGTTGGATCAAGTGGAGAAAAGAGCTAGCAAATTTGAGACCATGTTCCAGCCCCTGCTGGTGCTAAGCTCAGCAAATGCTGCTCAATCACAAAGCTTAGTAAAATATATAATGGCACAAATCACTCCTCATCAGCTTGGTCAAGTTAAGGGTGTTAACAGTAATGCCCAGTCAAGACTTGTTTTTGGATCTGGACCTGGGAAAGACAGTTCCATTGCCAATAGAAACTGGTAGAACTGGGAGGCTAAAGCAGAACATCAGAACCCAATGGTTAAAAAGGCTCTTGCTGCACTTACAGGAACTTTCAGCCATAAGCTTCAGTCACCCAATTATACAGCCACACACAGGATCTATGCTCACCATTCCCTCGTCCACCTGATGGCCTTCAGCATCACCATCCGGCGATCAGCTGGCATCAGCCAGCCCATCACTGTGCAGCTCCAGACTCCTTTTGTGCCAAAAAGCCAGGACTTGGACCTGCAGGAAGGACCAGACTTCCAAGGAGCATAGTGAGTGTGGACCAAGAGCTTAGCTCTGAGCGAGTCCTGCCTAAGCTATATCATGTTGCTTTGCTCACAGATGGGAGACAAACTGAAAACATACAGCTAGAGCTAGAATGAAATGGTAACTATCACTGAGGTTTGTGCATGTCTGCTTCTTTCTGCCAGGCAAGGCAAAAAGAATTAAATATAGAAATAGTTTTTATTAGTTGTGACTCTGAAATTACTACTTATGCTTACGTGTGAAATGGCATCAGAGACCACAGAGGCTACACGTGGCTACAGAGAAATGAGTTTGGAAAAGATAGTGATCTTGAAGGAGACAACCTTTAAACATGGCTTCCGTGAGGAAGCTGTAATCAGTCTGTCTTCTGATGGGAACAGGGGAAAGATACTCAGCTGCTAGGGGCAGTTCAACCTGCACAGCAGCCCTGCAGAGCTGTGGGTGCCCCATCCCTGGAGATGCCCAAAGCCATGCTGGATGGGGCCTTGGGCAACCTGAGCTGCTGGGGGGCACCCAGCTCATAGCAGGTTCGGGGTTGGTGGGCTTTGAGGTCACAGAATCTCAGAATGGCCTGGGTTGGAAGAAACCTCAAGGATCATGAACCTCCAACCCTCCCTCCACAGGCACCAATAGTCACATGTAATACTAGACTAGGCTGCCCAGGGCCTCATCCAACTTATCCTTGAACACCTCCAACACAACTCCAACTCCTCCATTTCAACATGGTGTAAGAAGTGGAGCTAGTTAATTACTGGAGCTTATTGCTGCAGATGTTTGATGGAAATAGAGGGCAGAACTAACTCCTCCTGGGTCACTTCCACCCTAATCGTTCTGTGGTTCTATGTGCACAGTGCTTTGCTCTCCCTTTCCCCATTCCTAACCATCTCCTGCAGCTACGTCTATGGGCAGACACTGGTTCCTGAGGTGGAGGGGGGACCCCAGCCCACTGTGCATATGCTCTGGACTCCTGTGCCGCGAGCTGTCACCTTGCATGAGGAGGAGCAGGAGCGAAGCTGGGAGTTCCTGACGGCTGTGGCTGAGAGTGAGGAGGAGGCCAAGAGGAGCTACAGCGAAGGGCTGGCACACGTGGCAGCTGGCTCCCTGCACTCTTCGCATACCCATGCCTGGGCTGCTCTGTGGAGAGGGTGCTGTGTGGACCTGGAAGGCCCACTGCCTTTGAGACAGGCCCTCTATGGGTGTCTCTATTATCTGCTGAGTGCCATCCCTCCCCAAGATACACCGGGATTCCTCTTCCATGGCATCAGCCCTGGTGGCTTGTCCAATGGCACACGGGGCGAGGACTACTGGGGGCACATCTTCTGGGATCAGGTGGGTTGAGGCAGTGCTGGTGTTTGCTTGGGGGCTGTGAGGAGTGACTGGGGTAGAGAGGCTCAGCAGGGGACTGCTGGTCTCCTTACTGGCAAAAGGGATGTTTGGCAGTGGTCTCTTGTAGAAGAGCATCCTTCTTCTCCTTTAGAAACACCTACTGAGGTCCATCTTCATCCATAGAGCCCCTGATCCCTTTGTCGATTTAAAATCTGAAGCACAGATTGGGTTGCTCACACAAGAAAGGCTAATGCAAAAGAATCTTCAGTTTAGAATACGGTCACCAAAGAATAGAGTAGAGTAGAGTAAAGTAGAGTAGAGTACGGTCACCGCATTTTTGCTTCTTTAAATGAATTGACACCTGCCCACCTTCTCCCTGTGTTGGCGGCAGCAGTGAGCCTTGTTGTGCCCAACTACTGTAAGAACAGAAATATTTTTTCTGCTATGGGCATATTCTGCTTTTCAAGTTAAGTTTGGTGTGTGCTCAATAAACAAGTTGGTCTGGGAGGCTTTTCCCCAACAAGAGGCTTGGGTTTGCTCTCAGAGCAGCCACACAAAATGAGTACAAACAGCTCTGCAGTTGAATATTTCATGTGTGATGTGAACAGGAAGGACAGCTGGATGGTGCTGAGACTCCTACCTAGTCTGGTCTTTCAGTGGGCAAGGGCTTTTCAGTCCGGTGGACCTTGTTGGCATTCTTCCTGGCAACATGTGGTTTTGACCCGTCAGATTCTCCGGCCTCCCTTCTCTAGCATGGCAGGAGATCTTTCTGGGCTTATCCTAGTGAGATACCAGGGAGGTGACTGGCAGAGAATTGAAGGCTTGGGCACCTGGATGCATCTGTGATGGTAGAAACAGTCCCTCATGCATTGGACACATCTGACAGCATCCTTAAGTAGTGGCATCGTCATGGTCACAGCATTCACCACCGGGGGTGGACAGCCAAATGCAGGAGCATTTGGCTGCCCTACCAACCCATCTTACCACTTTGCTTTGCCTGCATGTTTCCAGGACACCTGGATGTTCCCGAACATCCTGCTGTTTTATCCCAAAGCTGCCCGAGCCATCTTGGAGTACCGGATTCGCACGCTGGAAGGAGCTCTACTCAATGCACAGGAACAAGGCTATGAGGTGGGGGTGGAGATGTGGAGCTGAATGTCACCCAGAAGGATAGTCAGGCTTTCCTTGAGCCAGGGGCTGTGAGCTAGGTTTTGCCTGCATGTGGTAGACCAGGATGATTGTTTCAAGATGTGCTTAGTTGCTCCATGGATGTCTTCTCCCAACAGGGTGCTAAGTTCCCATGGGAGAGCGCAGCTACTGGTCAGGAGGTCTGTCCTGAGGACATTTATGGAGCCCAAGAAATTCACATAACCGGGGATGTTCTGATGGCCTTTGAGCAGTATTACTATACCACACAGGTAAAGGGAGTGTTTGTCACAGTTTAGACCCTATTGAATCTCCCTCATGCTCCCTGTCTTTCTCTGGCTTTGGCTCCTTCCAGGACCAGAAGCTGTTCAGGACTGATGGAGGCTGGGCGCTGGTGAAAGCCGTGGCTCAATACTGGTGCAGCAGGATGGTGTGGAGTGAGGAGGAGCAATGCTACCACATCCGAGGTACTTCTGAAGGGAAGGACTTGAGCTTGGACCTAGGGAAAAACACACAGTTAATAACTTAAAGGTCGCATTGCCTGAAGTGAGGAAGGTGCCCTCAGGACAAGGTATCTTCTGCCTGATGATCTGCCCTTTCTCAGCTAAATTATACAATATCCTGGCTTATGAAGGACCACAAGGATCACTGAATTTGTTGAGATTTGTTAGTAATGATCACAGTGAGAATGCTTGGGCAGCATGTCTCCCTCTGCCCAGTGGTTGTAGAGAACCCACACCCACACTGTGGCAAAGAAAGGAAAGAGGTGAGGATGAGTGTTCTAAAATTATCAAAGCCAGGAGTGCATTTTGGGAAAGAATGGATCCCAGACCCCAATCAGGGAATCATAGGTTGGAAGGAACCTTAAAGATCACTGAGCTCCAGCCCCCATCCGTAGACTGGTTGCCCCCCAGCAGGCCAACTGCCCAGGGTTCTTGGGCTCTTCCAGGGATGGGGCACCCACAGCTTTTGGGCGTTTCTATGTTAATGAAGCCAAATTCATGGGAGGAATGGACACCTCAGGGGTTTTGTTAAGAACTGAATCCATGGTGGGGCCTGTGGGAGCAGAACACCCAACACTGTCTTAGCTCAGAAGTAGGAGCTAGTTTTGGTTGAAAGGACTGTACTTTCATCAGGATACACTTCTGAGTCAGACCTCATATATCAAAAATACCAACACCTTTTCCCACCACACAAGTCAACGTGGGCAGTCATCAATACAATGGAGGTGTTCCTGTTCTTGTGCCACTTCCCTGAAACACACCTTGGGTGTGCTGCAGAGTGAAGTGTCCCCTTTGTCTTCCCTTCCTCCAGGTGTCATGCCCCCAGACGAGTATCACCACCAGGTTGATAACTCTGCTTACACCAATGCCGTGGCACAGAGGAGGTAATACGCACGCCTTATTGAGGCTCTGGCCCATCTTTCTTCTCATCTGTCTAGCAGGAGGAGGAGGCAGCAAGCACCTTTCTTCTGGCTCCATACTTCTGTCCAAGTTGGTCTCTTCTGCCTTCATCTGCATCAGCAGAAAGAAATAGGTTTCCCATGGGTTTCCATGATGACACCTAACGACACATCTGATGTCTCAGGTGTCTACATTAGACAGAGAGGAACTCCCCTTCTCAGCAGTGCTTGTCTCCTTGCAGCGTGTGACGTCAAAATAATTAGTCATTTGGAGATTACAAGTCCCAGCAATGAAAGTTGTTACCCAAAGATTAGACTTTGATCCCATGTTCTTTCTAGGAAACTGCTTTTTTGCAACGCTCACTCTTTTCCTCCCTTTTTCCTCTTCCTCTCTCTCCAAGGGGCCCCAGCAACCCAAGCATGACGTGAAGCACTGTTCCTCACTTCTTTTCAGCTTAAATTTTGCAGCCAGCATTGCTCAGGACTTCTTGATCCCTGTGCCAGAGGAGTGGGTGGAATGTGCAAAGAAAGTCAAAGTGCCCTTTGATGCAGTGCGGAAATATCACCCTGAGTATGACGGTTACAGTCCAGGTGGGTAGAGGGGCATGCAGTTCAGAAGCCTGCCTCTTTCTTTTTAAGCCTGCAAGACAGGAAATGTGGGCTGAAACAAAAGAGCACTGGTTCTCTCAGCATTTGTATTGCCAGTACAGAGGACCTGATTTGCAGAGTTACTTTCTGCATTTTGGTGGATCCTTTCTCATTATAGGGCTCATTTAATTAAGAATTTGGGGTACAAAGAGGATAGGCCTTGAGAGTTTGAGACACTGGGCTGCAGGCATCGTGGTGGCTATGAACCCATTGCTGACAGTTAGGTTTATCTTTCCAAAGTCAAGTGCTGCGTACTGAATGTCCTATAACCTCTGGTTACTGGAAGTCTGATACAAGAGGAAGAGCACGCCCAGCTTATTGCCCCTTTCCTCTGTGTCGTTTGCCTTAGTAAGGCAGTGTTGAGCTGTCTCCCAGCTCTTCAGAAGAGAGTTCCACCACTTTTCCACTGTGGTGTGGATTTTATTGGCCTAAGTTTATGATTCTGTGTCAGATCCGTTCCCTCTGTGAGTTAATTATTTGTGGGAGGCATGTGGTCGGGCTCAGTTCTGATCCCTTCTCTCAGGTGAGCCTGTGAAACAAGCTGATGTTATCCTGCTGGGCTTCCCTCTGATGCACCCGATGCACCCTGAAGTGAGGAGGAATGACCTGGTGATGTATGAGCCCGTCACCACGCTGAGCGGGCCAGCCATGACCTGGGTAAGAGGAACTCACCCGCAGTGTGGTCCTTTCTATCTGAGTCACTCAATACCGGTGGGCACTGACCCACTCTGCTCTCTCCTTCAGAGCATGTTTGCAGTGGGCTGGCTGGAGCTGAAGGAAACGCAGAGAGCACAGTGCCAACTGAACAAGTGTTTCAGCAACATCACTGAGCCCTTCAAGGTCAGCTGCTGCCCCGTGGCCAGTGCCACTTGGTTCTGTCTTGTCTGCTCCCCAGCAGGCCCTGTCTCACTGACAGCACTTGTGGTCCCTCGGTTATTGGATTATTGTACTGAGCTAGGTGATCGCTCGCTCCATCTCTTCTGCACACTTCCAAAAAGAAGCCAGGACCCATCTTCTTCCAGTCAAGCAGCATAAAGCTGAAGTCTGTTATCATGGTCACCATAGGATGCCCTCTGCCTGGGGAAGATGGGGAAGGGATGGAGATGTGGGACTTGGAGACCCATCAGAGCCCAGCCACCACCTTGTTCCATGATGAGCAGCAGGATATGATCATTGCAATGCCCCAGATATATGACAGCAACAGCAAGCATATACAAACACCTTTAACTGTGTGAAGAGTCCCAATGCAACAGCTGACATTTTTCTTTTTGTTTCCTCTTCTCCCTGGATCAGATCTGGGTGGAGAACTCGGATGGGTCAGGAGCTGTGAACTTCTTGACAGGGATGGGTGGATTCTTACAGGCTGTCCTCTTTGGTTACACAGGGTTCAGGTGAGACTCCTGTGAGACTCTTGTTTAATTTCTACGCAACTATCAAGTGGCTGGAAAACTCAGTATTCCTGTTGCTTGTGAAAAAAAAAGGCACCTGCAGTAACTAGTGCAGAGCATCTGCTTTCTGCTCTGAATGAATTGCGCCGTTAATGGGTGAACTAGGGGTATTGGGGTTGGCCACTGGTGTTCGTTTTGCATGATAACTCCCAGTGGTTGTGGATGTCACTGAGGGGACAGTTTGTGATGCTGCTGAGGCAGCAAGAAACCAGGGAAGATTATTTGCTGTTCTCACGCCAAAAGGCCAAAAATAAGATCTGTACAAAAGAGGATATGTCCTGCTGAGCCCCAGGAGCTGTGTGAGAAGGAAGCTGGTGTGCTGCTCAGATAATTTCAGGCTCATGCCTCAGCTCTGGAGCAGCTGGGTGGTTTCAGTCCTGAAGCTGTAGCCACTGGAGTGTATTCTTAGAATTTAATTGAGGATGGATCAGACTGAAGAACCTTCTGGTTGCCAGCAAAGCCTCCTCGCCCTAACAGTGTGTTTTTACGCTGTGCCACTAGCTGAAAGCCTCAATCTCAGCTGTGCACAGCTCAGTGTCTTCAGAATGTGCTGTTGCATCCCGGTGCACAGCCCTCAGGGTAGGGTCTGGGAAAAAGGGTTCCTGTTTGCTACTTAAAGCTCATCAGCCCAACCACCATGGAGCTGAGAGCAGATATTTGCTGATAGCTTTGCTGGTTTGTTTGTTCTTGATTTGGTTGGGTCTTGCTGAAGCTGAATGTGCATCCCAAAAACCCCAGCTGCAAACATTGTGGTGCTTTCCTGAGCTATCTGGGTGTTCTGTTGCTCGGTTTTAGTATGTGGCCGAGAGCCCACACTTGCGCTTTGTGTGGCTGCATTTCAATGGTGATTGCAGCCAGCTCTGCCTCCCACTGCTTGTTCCTGTACTCCTTCCCCTCCCCGTCCCAGAGCAGGGCATTCCTGACACTCTGCCAGCAGAGCTGCTCTAAGGTATCACCATAAGGCGAAAAAACATGGTGGATTTTGTGTGTGTGTGTAGTTTTTTTTTCTAAATCCAACCTCCAGACCACAAATTGAGGAAAAGAAACACCTTAGGGCACTGAGATGAGGGGTGACAACCCAAGTAGCCTTTCAACAGATGCTTGAAGATGTGGACGCCCCATCCCTGTGGCTTTGGGAATCCTAATCTGGTGCCATATTTAATCATTGGCATTCCTGCATGCAGCTGGGGGGATGGAACTAGATGGTCTTTGAGGGCCCTTCCAACCCAATCACTCCATGTTTTTATGATCTTCAACCCTTCCAACCCAATCACTCTATGGTTCTGTGATTAGTAGGTTTGGGATTAGTAGTGTTTGGAATTTGCCTGAACATCTTTAGGATACACCTAGGACTTTTTCTGCCAAAAAAAAAAATGAAAAGGAGTCATGGGAGAGGGCCTCAGGATAATTCAGGGTGTGCTTGCTCCACAAAGCTGTTAGCAAAGCAGAACTGACTTGCCCTGCCTTTCCAGGATCACAAAGACCAACCTTCGCTTTGACCCTGCATTTCCCAATGATGTCAACAAGTTGGAAGTCACTGGTGTCTCCTACTTGGGCAGCAAGCTGAAGTTCACCATCACCAAGGAGGAGATGAGGATTGCAGCAACCAAGTGTCCCCTTCACCCTCCCCTGGAGGTGGTGCTGGAGGAGTCTGGGCAGTGCTTTCCTCTGCACGAAGGTGCGACCTCTACCAGGGTTAACTCTGTGCACTGACCTTGAAGTTATCAAACAGCACTTCCTGCTCCATAGCTATGTAGGAAGTCTTTGCTTGAGCATGTTTCCTAAAAATTAAGATAATACAGAGAAAAGCCATTCCGGTGTCTCACATGTGTTGTTTTGATTCCAGGGCAGAGCATCTCCTTCCCCACAGCTGCTGGATGCATCCGGAGAGCGCCCAGCAAAGGACTTTGAACCTCATGGGTCCGGGCTTTATATGATGGGCATCAGACCCACCCGTACTGATGTGTGGACATCCTGCACCATCCCCGTATTGATATGAGTGTGCTGAGGCTGCCAAGAGAATGCCCTGCTCTGTTAATTGTGAGTGTGAGCATTGGTTCTGCTGCAGGACTCACAGCACTGGAAAGTGGGAGGAGCACAAACAAAGCTGAGTGCCTGAAAGTGAGTAATTTAGATGCATTTCCTAAACATCCCCCGTTTGTTTATTCTTGAAAGTTCTCCATCTCTACAGCAGTCTCCAGATGCACAGAGCTGTTTTCAGCTCTGGATGCCCTGCTCCACTCCTCCTGCTCTCGAGTTTTACAGGGTTTTGGAGGCAGCGTGAACAACAACAAGGCTGAAGCTGGGTGTTATTCTGGCCCTGTGGGTTCAGGGATGCATTCACTAGCCGTTCGAGCAAGGGGAAGGAAGGATGCTCCCTGCTCTGCTCTGTAAGCCAACTCCAGGAGTTTATAAAAAGCTCTGTGGCTGCTCAGCATGTGGAACCACTTAGGGGAGGCGACATGGCGGGTCCTCTGCCTTGTAATTAGAGCTGGCTCTTCATCAGGCCCTCATCAGTGGCTGCAGGGTGGGATGAACGTTCTCCTCTGTTCTCTCGCCCTTTGGTAAGGGACCTATGGGATGCTTATTGAAGGAGAGGGGGATAAAATGCTGCTCATGGTCCCCTATGATGTCCATTCCATGTGGACGGCTGTTTTTGCCATTGGAGCAGTACTGCAAAGCACTGGGGAGATTCAAGCCGTGGCCATGCCGTACGGGTGAGGATTTTTTCTGACCTTGGAGCCATGGGGAAATTCCTTCTGTAGTTAAATGGGATGTACTGCAGGATGCAGCATTCCTCCTGGCTCACAGTCACCACAGGCAGATCCCCTCTGTCCTGACTTGGGGACCTAATCAGGGCTTATGCTGTGCTGCAATGAGTTGGTCCACCTGGGAGGGGTCTGCTTGGCCCAATTGTTGCCTTCCTGATCCGAGAAGTGTCTCCCATCCCTACTGTTTCAGGCTGGCACACCCTAAAGCAATGTGGATTAAGGCTTCCAGCTATGAACTGGGACACTCTGAGTGTACAAAACACATTTGGTTGGACTAGATGATCTTGCTGGTCTTACAAACTTTAATGGTTCTGTGATTTTAAGAGCTGTATCACCTGTTAGCACAGTCCCTTCCCTGTGCATGCACGCATACACACATACGCACACAGAGCAGATTCGAGATGGGTGAAATGATTTAATGATTTAAATATTAAGCACCAAGGGAGAGATTAAAAAAAAAAACAACACTACCACCAACACCAAATAACCACACCAAATAACATAGCTGCCCCAAGAAGCATGGGGTTGTACACGGGAGGGCTGGATCAGCAGCGCTGCGGAGCTTTTGCCATCCCCTTGCCCACCGCTCACTTATCCTCATCATCGCTGGTGCTGAACTGGTTGCTGAAGAAGCCCACGGAGTCCTGGGCGAGCTTGGAGAGGTGGAGGACACCGGTGACCACCAGAGCAGTGAGCAGGATCGGCAGCAGCACGCTGCCAGCTGTGGCCAGCGCGTTGTAGCAGCGGGCTTTGGAGCTGAAGCGCCGAGCAGCTTCCACATCTCCTGCCACCTTCCGGTCCCGTGCCTGCAAGAGCCGATACTGGGGGCAGCGGTGGATCCCCATGGGTACCCCTAGGCATCCTCCTTGTTTCCTCCAGCCTGTCTCTGGTCCCTCTGTCCAGCTGGAGGTGTTGCTTCTGGAGGACAGGTCTGAGTGGAGACACCTCCAGTATCATTTCAGGTTGGATGTTAGGAAAAGCTTTTCCAAAAGAGCAGTGAGGCAGTGGCACAGGCTGCCCGGGGAGGTGGGGGTGTCACCGTCCCAGGGATGTTTAAGGAACATGGAGATGTGGCACTGAGAGGCGCAGTCAGTGAGCACGGTGGGGTTGAGCTTGGGAATCTTAGAGGTCTTTTCTAACCTTAGTGATTCTATAACCCTGAACATCCCAACTTGGGGCCCAGCCATGCCTTACCTTGACAGAGAAGGCAAGAGCCACGAAGCCGAGGCAGCAGAAGTTCATGTAGATGGTGTTGAAGATGGACCAGATGAGGTGGTCACGGGGTGGTGCAGAGGTGACAGTGGTGGGAGATGAGTCCCGCTTGTGGGATGTCATGGGCAGGTAGTCCTCCCGTGGGTAGGATGTGTCCATGGCCACAGAGAGGGGCACCCCGCAGCTCTCCGGCTCCACCAGCCTGGCTGCAGGAGTGGGGCTGAGCAGACCCTTTTATATCGTCCTTGTCTCCAGCCCAGCCTCAGCTCCTCTATATATAAATCAGAGAAATTACAGACCTTGCCAAGCTGTGGTTGTCAGAAATGCTTGGCTGGAAGCTAGGAGAAACAAAGTTGGTTTCGTGAGCCTGCCTTCCTTCTGCACCAGGGGCACGGGTGGCTCCAGCCCTGCTGTGGGACAGGGTGGGAACCGAGTGGCTGTCACTCCCAAGGACACAACACAAGACAGTATGGAACAGCTCATGGTGCTGGTGCCTCCACCAAGCCCTTCAGGTTGTGTTGTTAGGAAATCCCTCACACAGAAGTGTGGTCAGGATGCTAGAAAAGTGTGAACTGAACTTGGCTGGAGCTTCCCCTGTGCCAAAGCTGCAGTCATTGAGGATGCGTTTGTGTCATCATGTGCCTTTCAATGCTGCTCAGAGCAATTGCTTCAATAAGGGAATATCCCTGTTGCTACACAGCCTGAGGTAACGGAACCAAGTGCCCTTAAAAACTCCATGTTTTTCTTTCCCCCAGCCTCACAAGAATGGAACAAACAGGAATTTAATGCTAAAATGCGTAAGAGTTACTTCTAGTAAAGCACTTCATGGTTCCCTGGAGGGAGAAGGGACTTTGCAGGAAGATGGGGTGTTTATGGCCAGAAAAGCATGGAAATTTGCTGTTTCCTTCTTCTGCTGTGCTGGAATCTATAGGACAAAATGTGGCTCATGCTGGAGATGCCTGGCAAGGCAGTGGGGGTGGAGGAGGAGGAGGATGCCTTGAAGGTACTCCGGGTCACTCTCCTCCATCCATGCTGTGAATAATGCAACAGGAGCAGGGCTTGGTGAGCAGGAGCTTTATTTGTGGCGATGGCAATCCATGCATACGCTGTAGCTTGGTTAAATACTAGCATGGCCTAGGAGAAGTAGAGAAAGGAGCTTCCCACCCATCCCTGCCATGCCACATGCAGCGAGGGGACAGGGCTCTGCAACCCTTTCCCAAAGCAGAAATTCCTTGGGACACATTTTTGGTGGGGAGTTATGGGGGTGAGCACAGCACAGGACAGTGGGTTGGTGGCAGAATTTTTATATCTGTCTGCTGCTCATGGTGAGGAGCACGATGGCAATGGTAATAGTAGACAACACACCGATGGCTATCAGCACAGAGAAAATGATGTTCAGAACCTTGGCACGGGTTCCGTACCGCCGGGCGCCTTCCAGGTCCCCCAGCACTTTGCAGTCACGAGCCTAGGGAGACAAATAGGGATTCGGTGGGGAAGACCCAACTTCAGGATGGGAATAGGGAAGGTGGGGGACCCAGCCTGGCTTCATGGGGCTGTCAGGTAGAGCTGGGACACCGTGGGTGCTTTAGTGGGACCTTGTGGGAAGCAGGGGTTAAAGATGCCCATGTGCTCCCACACAGTTCCACATTTTGGGGTTGGAAGGCTCAGAGGGGTGCAAACTGAGAGGGTGTCAGGGAAGGCAATTGGGGTCACCAAATTGGATAGTCCCAAATCAGGGAGTAGTCATGTATGTTGAATGGCAGTTCTGGGTCAGCAGGGATGCATTAGGTTAGAGTTGGGGCTACTGTGAATTGGGTGGGACAGGGGACGGTGTTTTCAATTTGGGCAGCATTAGATTAGATTGGGGTCAGAGGATAACATTATGTTGGGATGGGTTGGGAGCACTGTGGATTGAGTGGATCACGGGTTGGGGGGTAAGGTTGGGAAGCACTGGATTGGGGTTCTTGGGGTTGGAGGATCATGTTGTGCTCAGATAGGTAGGGAAGCATCATAGATTCAGTGAGTTATGGGTTGGGGGACCCAAGTCTGCATGTTGGGTTGGATGGGTCAAGTTGGGCAGCACCAGGTTGGAGTGCCCAAAATTGGGAATCATGTTCTGTTGGGATGCATTGGGGAGCATTGTGGACAGAGGGTAGACCCCAGTAGACAGGAGAAAATCCCAAATAAGAGAGTTGGGGTGGATGTAGTAATGTTGGGGGCCACCAAATCATAAGGCATCAAATGGAAGTGGAGGGTGTGGTTTGGGGGGAGATCAGCTTGGGGGACCCCGAGTCAAGGGATCCCAGGATGGGTTGGCAAGGAGGTACCGGGTCAGGGGTGGGGGATTGGGGGATCTCACCTTGATGGAGAAGATGAGCGAGGGGAAGCAGAAGCAGCCGAGGTAGGTGAGAGCGAAGCCTGCCAGGACGTTGAAGAGAGACCAGAGGACGAAGTCGCGGGGCTGCTCTTGGGGGACGCTGGAGAGGGGCGGTCCCCGCCCGGGTGGGTGCAGCGGGATGCTCACCTCCGCCTGTTGCGGCTTCATGGCCGGGAGCGGAGCGAGGATGGGAGGGAGATGGGAAGCTCTGCGGAAAATGAAACCTAGCCCCGCACCGCCCCTGCGCCGGCCCCCGGCTTCCCAGAACTCAGGCAGAGCAGTCAGCCCTCGATGGGCTCGGCGCCTCGTCCCCCTCCTCTCAGTCCCCGGGTGTGGGGGCACTGACCGCGTGGGCGCAGGGAGCAAAAAGGGGGAGGGGGAAGGGGGGGGGGGGAAGGAAAACGGCTTCTGAGGAACTGGAAAACTGCCAAACGGAGGAGCAGAGGAGAAAAGGAAGAGCGGGACCCTACTGTTGCCCCTTGTAGAGAGACTGTGGCTATCTGCACGGGATGACAGAAACGAATCTGGGTTTGGTGGCCCTAGGAGCCGCAGGAAGGCAAATTACTGAACAGCACAGACACATCACTTCTTGCCCAAGCACCCTGTCTCAGCTTTGGGGCAGCCCCAACCTCCTGAACCCTAAAACCAAAACATTTCCAGACAGAAGCAGAACGAGGAAGAAGATTTATTTGTCTTGAGCTCACCCCAAGGGTCATCTCGAACAGTCACCTCAGTGGGGGTGGCACCACTGGGCGAGCAGGGATAGAGGGGAGGAGGAGTGGGACCCCAGCACTCCTCCTCTTCATCAGGCCAGATCAGGGCTGCACAAGATAGAGTGGAAGGTAGAGAAACACCAGGACGATGGAGAGGATGGTCACGAAGAGTCCCACACAGAGCGCAGCGATGTTAAGGATCTTGGCTGTCCTTCCATAGCTGGTGGCACCAACAAAGTCCTTGGCAATTATCCTATCTCTGGACTGCAGAGGGAGAGGAGGGAGTTGATGAAACCCAAAACATCAAAGGTTCTGTTCATCATCATCACCCGACCACCCTCATTGGCATACATAGGGTGTCAGACCCTCAGGAAGCCAACGCTGATGGGAAACATAGCTCACAGCAGCCTAACAGCAATTCCTTAATGGCTAATTAAAAGTCAGCAGTCTTGTGCTGCTAGCTCCTCCTGTTGCAGGTAGAGAGCTGTGAGGAAGGCCAGGGATATCCTAACATGCCCATGTGGCGCTTCTTGGGGCACTGGCAGCTGCTGACCTTTCCTCCCAGAGTGCTTGTTAAGGATGATTAGCTTTAAAGGTAATAAAGGGAAGGTACACGGGGAGCAGCTGCTCCTTACTGGAAGTAGGGTGGGTGGAAGGACAGAGGGAGGGAGTGGGAGCAGGAGCTGAATTTGCAGTTTCATGGAGGTGCCAGCTGGTTTGGGACTGACTTAAGGATAATTTAGAGGAGCCAAAACCATTGTGCCTACTGGGAGCCCCTCTTCTGTGGGCCTTGGAGATGGCAAAGCACCCAAAGGTGGCAGATTGTCCTCCAAAGGTGGGTGTCAGGGAAGTTAGATATGAGGCACTGTGATAGGGATGGGACTGGGATGGGATGATGAAAGGTAGGGTAGGGCAGGCGGGATGGGATTGGAAATGTGTGAGGGAAAGTGAGACATGATGGGACAAAACAGGGGAAGCTGGGACAATATAAGATGGTAAAGGGATTGGACAAGGAAAGATGGGACGTAATGGGACACATTGGGATGGGATCGGGGTGGGGAAAGTTGAGACATGATGCAACAAAAAGGGATGGGATTTGGGAGCCGTAGCATGGAGGGCAGACCTCAAAGCTAAGCAGGGAGGTGCTGGGTTGATTTTTGCCTTACCTTGATGGAGTATGAGAGTGCACAGAAGCCCAGGCAGAAGGCGTTGCACAGCACGAAGTTAAAGAGGGACCAGAGTACAAAATCCTTGGGGGGTGGCTGTGGTGAGATGGGAACAGTGGTGATGACATTCTGCCCGTAGGGCGGCATGTCAATGCTGGTGTGCTGCGGGTAGCTCTGCATGGTGCCAGAAGGCAACTGCAGTGCCTGTGCCCTTACAGCCTCACCTATTATAGGTGAGCAGAAGGGTTTGCTGGGGTGGGGACACCCCGCCCGGCACCGGGGCGTGGGCAGTTCTCATCCTACCAGGGACAAACTCCCTTTGGAGATGTTGGAAACTGGTTTATGCCCACGGTGCCAGCGTGGGCATGGTGATCTGAAAGCTGTGGTGTAAAGGATGGCATGATGGCGCAGGACAAAGTCCCTTGGGGCAGGTGTCTGGGGGGGTGTGGGGTGCACTTGACCCCTGGGGCACATGGGATGAAGGCAGCTGTGGGTTTTGAGGCCCACTCAGACAAGGGCTCGTGCCTGGAGCAGCAGCTGCCCACTGTGAAGACCACCTGCGTGCAAACCCAAGTGCTCCCCAGTACTGCTCATACCAAAGCTATCAGCTCTTTTTCTGGCATGCTCTCAAGTTAATGAGGTTCATTAGGTCACAGTGGTAATTAAGTGGAGAGGCTGGAAGGGAGGGGAAAGGGTGCGAATAGAGGAGGGGATTGCGGAGCTGGCTTTGTGCTCAAACTCCAGCAGCAACCCAGAGCTGTGCCCCCAAAAAGCTGCAGGTGTCCTTCTCGCTGTAAGTGGGGTTGATTGCTGTCTTATCTTAATTAGCTTGGTGTGAACAACCTGCTGGCATCACCACCCCTCTGTGCATTTTCCTCTATTTGCTTTTGCATCCAAACAAATGATGGGATGGGAATACATTGAGGCAACAAAGTCCTGGGGGTGTGGGCAGAGTTAAGGGGCTGAGCAGCAGAGGGTTTGGGTGAGAAACAAAGATGCAGGGGTGGCTTTCCTTGCAAGGGGGGAAAGAGTCTTCAAAGTGAGGTTGGGGTCTGCTGGAGGTCTTTTGGAGTGGGTTATGTGGGGAGCTGAGCCTGCTGCCTGCTCCCTTCTTGCCTTTGCCGTTAGGGCAGGGAGTTCAAGGCTCGTTGGCCACCTGCCAGCAGCCTGGAGCAATTCCTGCAGGAGGAGGAACGATTTGCCCCCGTGTCCTGCGAGCACCCCTGCTCTGCCCGTGCATCCCCTTGTGCCCCCATCTGCCTACTGGTGCCCAGCCCCAGGGAGAGTCCATGCATGGAAAATCCCTATGGTGCCCATTGGGGCTGGGGATGTGCTCCCCAGGGGATGTTGGGATGACAGGATGTCACATTTTTGGCTGTGGAATGTACCGGGTTTTGCATGTGACAACTGATCAGGGAGGTGCATTTTAAAAAATGATTTTGGGGGGGGATTTCAGCTAAATCCTGGTGGGGCCAGTGGGGATGGAGTGAGAGGAGAGGAGTGCTCAGGGAGGGCACGATCCGGCACATGTCTGTTTGCTTTTACGGGAAGAAGAGTAGGAATCAATGATTCACCCAGCCGAGGCTGCCAGGGATCCTGCAACAAATGGCTGTTGTGTTTTGCAAGGAGGACGTCCTGCTCATGAGTGCAGCTTCTTGGCAGGAGTCATTGTTCTTCGAGGGGAAATAAATAAAAAGGCTTTCTCCATCCAGCTCTGTGGGGCCCCAGCCCTTACAGAGCTGGGGAGCAGGAAGCCAGGCCAAGCACATAGCTGAACCCCCGCCAGGTCAGCTCTGTCCGGGAGTATTGGTCGGGTGCTTGGGGCCTTTCCAGGGTCATTTTGGACGTGGCTGGAGCTGTAGGCGTGATTTCTGCCTTACCCCAAAGCTGGGATGGGAGTGGTGTTGTGATATTGAAAAGCTCCAGGGAGGAGGGAAGAGGTATCGTCATCTCACTTTCCCTTCTAAGCATTTCAGGGAAGCACAGCATCACTGGAGTTTGGGATGGGGTCATCCCACCCACAGTTTCCTCATCTCCAAATGAAGCCCACTCATGCATATTACCAGAGATAGGGTAGGGGATGCTTCACCCCTATTCCCTTGTCATTGCCGTGGTCCACTTTGTCCAAACCTGTGAACTGGATTCACCCAGCTGGGTCCTGTCACATCTTGGAGCTTAGGGACATGGTTAGTGAGCATGGTGGTGATGGGTTGATGGTTGAATGAGATGATCTTTGAAGTCTTTTCCAACCTTAATCATTCTGTAATCCCTGTCATGCTCCAGAGGGTGACAAAGGGGACAATTGTTCAATAGCATCGTTATGGAGGCTCTCCTACTCCCACCCCCATCCTCTAAAAAAGAAGAGCCATGAGACAAAAGTGAAAGATACCTTTATTGTGCTTTTTTTTTTTTTTTTTTTCTTTCTTTCTTTCCAAACTGATGAGGTGCTTCCCTAAGGGCTTTTACAGGCACTCGGAGCAATAGCAAAAAGGCAGAGTGAGGTGGCAAGCAGCAAAGTCTGGGAGTTCCCATTCCTACAGCCAGTTTTGTAGGTTCCTGCCAGAGCAAGGCGAGTCTTGAGGAGCTTTTTCAGACGGTGACTGGAGAGGGGGTTGGAAGAAGCAAGGAAAGCATGGCCCCAAGCGAAGCTCTGCACATGGACTAAGTGACTAGGTGGGTCCAATGAATTCGGGGTGTTGCTGGTGGTGGTTGAAGATGTTGGCCACCACAATGGTGCCGCTGGCAACCAGGGCGATGACGAGGATGATGAGGAAGATGTTGATCAGATGGGCCGTGATGTTCAGGTACTTGGCAGTGGAGCCATAACTCAGCGCCCCACTGTAGTCACCCAGGACTTTGCGATCTCTGGACTGGGGAGACCAACAGGAGAGTCAATGGGGCTGGGTAGGAGAGGTTCCCTGGCATGGGGCTCCCTCTGGTGATAATGGGCCTGTGGGTTCCATGAGACACCCCAGAGTCAGGGTTTCTTGGGAGATGTATGGGTTTCACCAGGGTCAGGGGCTTGATGGAGTTCACAGGGCACCTCCCAGTAGGGGCTTTTGGAGATCTGTGGGGTCCACGTGGTACCCTGAGATTGGAGGTTTTGAGGGCACCATGAGTCTGTTCAAGACTCCCTGGGTCTTTCTGGGGTCCACGGGGAAACCTGGCAGCAGAGATCTGGGGGCTCCATGGATCTTTTTGAGGCCCGGGGCTCTGTAGGGTCCACGGAGCACCCACAGCTGGGACTTTTGGTGCTCCACGGTTCTGTTTGGGATCGGGGAGCTCTGTGAGCCCCACGGGAATCCTCCATGACCGTCCCCCGCCCTTCCCCCCCATTCCTCTCCAGATGCCACCACTTCCCCATCCCCCGTCCCCCCCCTTTCCCATTCCCCAACCTTCACGGAGAAGACGAGCGCCAGGAAGCCGAGGCAGCAGACGTTGGCATACAGCGTGGTGCACAGCGACCAGGCCAAGTGGTCGCGGGGAGGAGGCACCTGGGGGTTCTCCACCGTCACCACTGTGCTGCGGGTCTTCCCCTCCATGTCCAGCCCGTCCATCAGAGGCTCGTACGGTGGAATCGCCGGACCCGGAGTGCGGACCCGCTCCATGCTGGGGCTCGGGGGCTATGAGGCTCGGGGGCGGCGCCCGGAGGGGAGGATGGAGAGAGCTAGTTTCGTTTCCTTGCAGCCCGGTGATGAGGAGGGCTGAGCGAGGGGGAGGGAAAAAAGGGCCGCCCGCCCCCTGCGAACGCCAGGCGCCAGCCCCGAAGGTGTCCCCTACCCGGCCTCCACAGGTCGGGCTGTGGGGTGCGGGGCTGGTAGAGAAGTAGTGAGGTAGGGGCGTCAGAGAGGTAAAGCCTTAACCGTGTCCCCAGCGTGTGTCAATGGGGTTCCCGTGGCTAGTGGTGAGCCTGGATGTTTGGTGAAGAAACCCTATATCACATCTCCACCATAGGGCACTGGGACCCCTGCCCCTGAAGTTGACGGACGGATGATGGAGAAATCCTAAATTGTGTTCCTGTCAAGAGGCAATAGGGCTCCCATCGCTGTGATCAAGCCTGGGTGCTTGGTGGAAGAACTCTACATTTTGTCCTTTTGACTCCATCATGTAGTACTGGGAGCCCTGAAGTTGGGCTCAGTGTTTGGTGGAAACCCTACATCATGTCCCCACCACACGGCAGCCCATGGGAGCCCATGGACTGGGAGCCCAACCCCTACGGTTTTCTCTAGGCACTTGATGGAGAAAACCCACATCATCACCCTCACACCATGGTGTTGGGACTCCTTTCTCCCCCACGTTCCTCATGCTCTCTCCTAAGGCTGTCCCAAAAGGCACTGGAGGCCAAAGCTCAGCCCTACATCCAGCTCTGGGGATGTGCTGGGGGGAGGCCGTAGGGTGCTGCTCCCTGGGCACAACAACATGAATTCCCCTAATGTCCAGTTAGATTCCACAGCCGGTGGGACAGCTATACGAGCTGCGCTGCATAGTTATCTAAATTGCACCTAATTATGAGGCAATTAACCTTCTGCACCCGCCTGTGAGCACGGCGGGGACGCGAAGCCTGGAGCACGGGTGCCCTCTAGTTTCCCCAGCTGCAGATGTCTTTTTCCTTTTCTTTCTTTCTTTTCTTTTTTTTTTTTTTTTCTCATCGCTGAATTCTTCCTCTGTTTTCGTTTCCAGTCCCGCATTGCAGCGAGGACGAGAAAAAATTTCACTTGCTCTGAAAAGGCTGGGCAGCAGGGGTGCAGTGAGTTGTGGGAGGTCTCAGCCTGGCTGAGCTGTGGGATGGGAATGGAGATGTGATGGGGAAGGGATGGGGATTGGGATGGGATGAAATAGAGATTAGGTTGGCAATGAGATAGGGAAGGGAAAATCTGGAGATAAGATGGGTTGGCATGGGTACAGGACGGGGGTAGAAATGAGGATGGTGATAGAGTTGGGATGGGACGGGACTGGGAAGGGAATGGAGATGAGATAGGAAGAGGATGGAGAGAGAAAAGGAACGGATCCCAGCTCGCACCGCGGCCGCTCCCCGCTCCCCGGCCGGGCCTCGCAGCCCCTCGGCGCGGCACGCAGGGATGTACCAAACCCGCGCCGGGGGGCGATGGGCTACAAGCCGGTCCGCGCCCCTCGTGTCAGCCGACCCGCCGCCCCCCTCGGGCACAGACAGCTCCGTCCCTCCCACCGCCTCACACCGCCGCTCCCACACACAGCAGGGACCGCGCCGAGGCCGATCCCCCCGCCGCCCCTATGGCCCGGCCCGCGGCTGCCGGCCCGTTGGCGTGGCGACGCGCGGAGCCCCCTCCGGTCCCGCCCCCGCAGCGCTCCTATTGGTCGAAGCTCC